TAAATTATCTCGTGTTTACTTATTTGTATACTTGTCAGTCTCTCTACTCCCAGAGAAATGTAAGATCCTTAACTGAAGGAATTCAAGAAAACCCAAGTTCAAATCCCACCTCAGACACTTGCTGTGTGACCAAGGGGCAAACCACTTCACTTCTCTCAGCCTCATTTTCCTCATTTGTAAGTTTGGGATAATACTACTTACCTCACATGACTGTTTGTGAGGCTTTGCAGGTGTTAAAGTGCTATATAAATGCTAGATAGTACCATTTGTCTTTGTATCCTCAGAATACAACAGTGCCTTATACATAGGTATTTCAAGTTTAACTTGTTTAAATGCAAGGCTAGCAGGACTATGGAGAAAGTAATGGTTGGCAAAATTGAAAGTATAATCCCTCTGAAAAGCAGTTTGGTGATAGGCTGTATGAGCTACAAAGTAGTCATTCCCTTTCATTCACTAATCTCCCCACTTGGACTACACCTGTGACATCAAACTCCAACAGAAACAGGTGCCATTAAGTCATATATAAGGCTCCCTCTAAAGGCTGCATTAAAAAACCACATGTTAACATTATCTACGTTTTATTGTCTTTATTTTATTCAATATCCCCCAGTTACATTTTAATCTGATTCAGGCCACCCTCAGGCATGTTCTGGGCCACAAACAGTCTATAGATCATGTCTTTAGACACTTCTGGACTATATATCATAAGGACATACAAGAATAAGGTATGAATTTAGGAATGGCACTCCTGACCCCAAATCCCTGCTCTGAGCAAAAGTTCCTATGACTTATATGTACAGTAACACTCATATCAAGTTACTGACCATTTATTAAATGCCCATTATGTGCCAGGCACTGTGCTAAGCACTGGGGATAAAAAAAAAAAGCCCATAAAGTCTCTATCCTCAAGGAGCTCACAACCTAATGGCAGGAGAGGAAATAATATGTAAAAACTGAACAGATAGCCAAAAATGAGAAACAATCCAAGCATCCAAAGATTAGGAAATGCCCAAAATACAGTATACTAACATAAATGGATTATTGTGTCATAAAAAGTATTAATATAAAGAAATTGGGGAGACTTATGAAGTGAGACAATTAGAATATGCAGGGTGTCATGATTCCAAAGGACTCCAGATGAAACACACTACCTACCTCCAGAAAAAGGACAGACTCAGAGTACAGATGAAAGTGTACAGATTAAAATACAAATAAGACATTTTTTCCTAGCCTTTTTTTTGGGTGGGTGGGGAAAAAGAAAAGAATGTTTAAAATACATCTTTTTTTAATAAAGTTTAGCCCAAAGTAATTTTAATTTAAACCATTATGAAAATCTCAGCAACACAAAACTGGGATTATAACAACTTCTAATTATATCATTTATCTGAATGTCATTATTTCTTGTAACCTCAACTTTAAACATAGCACCATCAACTACCTAGTGCATGTAAATGGGAAATATCACAGTACAATCAGTTCTGCCATAATTCATGTTTCAAAAACTCAAATTTGTTCCACTGCAATTGATATATTACAGTACATTTTGAGCATAAAGACAATTTCAAGTTTGCTTCTGGTTCTTTTCTTCCTTGAGAAACATCAAGAATGCAGAAAACAGCACTACTTCACAATAATTCAAGCTGCAAAGCCTTCCAACAAGCACTTCTCCAAAAATACTTCAGGTCTTTGTCAAGTGGCTAATTTATTGTTTATCTTCCAGTACTGTAGTAGTTATGAGCTGAGAAGAGGTGATTTGAACCTCCCCTGTCCCCTTCAGTCACTGCTAAGGACTCCCCACCCCACCCCCAGCAATTGCAGCCAAACTTGTTGCTGCCCAAGAAGCAGGGCCATGAGCAGCCCAAGGTTTCAGATGCTGCCACTATTTATTTTAGCATTTAAATATTTCTTAACATTTAACATATATCAAACTGTGCTACCCTTTTTATTAGGCTCCAATCTTTTTTTTTTTTTTTTTTTAAAGATGTCACTGAGCCCACTTTCCCCACAAGCCCTGTGGTTTTCACTGCACCAAATTGCACAGCTCACTGCTTTTGGCAAATGTATAAGTTATAGCAGAACTGATTAGACTCCAAAATGGCTATCAAGACAGTAGGGGGGTCAATATTTGTTTCTATGACCCTCAGTAAATTACTCTCTGGGCTTCAGTTTCATTATCCTAAAAATAAAGGTACTGGACCTGTAAGGTCTTTTTTACCATTATGATTCTAAAAAAACAAGAATATCCCCTAAAAAATAACTAACTCATTTTTTTAAGGAAAAAAAGTTGAGGCATTTTAAAAATTTCTATTGCTTGATCTAAAAATTTGAGAATTTTTTAAAAGATAATTTAGATTTTTGGTTCTTTGATATTTAGCAAGAGAAAAAAGTTACATTTCAACATCTACAGCAGCTATGAGTTTTTCCACCATGTATTCATTTGGCTTTTTAAGACCTGTTCATAAGAGGCTCTTTATCTCCCCACTCTGTTCCATAACTTCCCTATTACTGAGCCACCACCCTCCCACAGTCACAGAGGCCTGAATGTCATCTTCGGCTCGTCACTATTTCTCATCCACCATGTCCAATCACTCAGCTAATCCTATCCATCCTACCTGTGTTAATATTTCTCTTCTGACTCAACCACCATCCTTGGTTCAGGCCCTTATCTCCTCCCACCTTAACTATTTCAAGAACCTGCTGGTTGGCCTCCCTTTCTCAAGACTGTCCCCAATCCAGTCACACTCTACTCAGCTGTCAAAGTGATCCTCTGTGAGTTCAGCTCTGACCATGCCCCTAATTAGATAAATTCCAGTGGCTCTTCCTATTACCAACAGTATCATACGAAATCTTGTTTGACTTTTAAAGCACCTAACCCCTTCTTCCACATCCACCTCACACACACCCCACCAAGGCCACTGACCTCCTGCCTCTGACCACTTTCCCTGGCTCTCACCATGCCTGTGCCTCCTGTCTTCCTTCAAGCCTCACCCAAAGTCCCACCTCCTGAAAGAACCTTTTCCCAGGCTTCACTAATCTTTGCTCAGAGACTGTGTGCCTCCCTAATTTCTATGTAGTTATGTGCATGTTATCTGCCCCATTCAAGAGTGGTCTCATTGAAAGGAGGGACTGTTTGCCTTTGTATCTCCAGTGCTTAACAGTGTCTGGCACACAGTTTTAAGCTTTTTTCACAACTTGCTGAAATTTGACTTAATTTTTCATTCATAGGTGGGAGCTTTGTACAGATTACAAAATTCAATGGCTAGATTGCAAAATTTAGTTATTGGTACTCCAAAGGATCATCAAAGTTGCCCGTTTGAAGCGTTTCCATATTTTCAAGCTCTTCTTACTTATCTTTGGCCCACAACACCTGTATGATAAAATAAACAGAAGTGAATTTTGAAGCTGCCAACAATAACCAAAGGTATCCAAAATACCTTTAGAAGTTCATTTTTCTGGGCAACACAAGCAGAGTATTTTCCAACTGTGGATGTGGTCTAAGGAAATGTTTCCTAGGATATCCAAAAAACAATTGTATTAACAAATCAAACTATTCTACCTGAGGTAGTTTTTAGTCATTTATTTATAGACTGAAAAATGCAACTGGTGATAGAAAAGCAACTCTAACCACCTTTCAAAAAGCCCTCCTTTTTGTTTCTAACATCTGAAAATACAGGGACACACTCTGAGGTCTTTAGGACAAAATGTGTTTTTAAGTACCTCCGTTCAGAGACCACTGAACACAATAACACAATTGTTAACATTCGAAATTAAGATATCATTGATATGAAAAAGTAACCAATTCTTAACAGGTTAACATCACTCATTTCCGACTCTAGGTTTCAGGATAATAATATTACTGAGACATCAAAACTTGGGGGCAGGCAGAGAAAAACAAGTTTTCTGGTTTGTTCCATTCACAATTTAATAGATAAAAATTTTACTCTTAGATAGAGCCAAAAATAGAAATCTTTTGTTTTAAAAATAGTGGTTATATGTATAATCAATATGCAATTGTTTAACTTCTTAAGGAGAGAGCAGGGTTGGGAGGAAGATAATTTGGAACTCAAAAAAAATTTTAAGAGACTATTAAAAAGAATTTTACACATAACTGGGAAATATTTAACAAAATAAAAATAATTTTAAAAATTAAAATAAAAATAAACATAGTATGTACTCCTGGACCTTCATGGGGCAATTTTGAAACCCATCATCTCCAGACATTTTATACATCAGTGATTTCCAAATCCAGTTGTACAACATCCCAGAGAGTCTTCAATAATCGAGGTCCATTATAAAATTCTCCGCCAAAAAACCATTTTAATCTAAAAACCTCACATTCTAATATATCCATATCTGTAAAATCATTCTTTACATGTTACAACTCTATAAAGGTTAGGTATTACACATTACAGCTATACCAAGTATCTTTGAGACCATTAGTCTTCAGCAAGTAGTTGCCTCAACAAAACAGGAAATTTTATAGGAAGCTTCTACCCAACTTTGATATCTAGTCAATATATTACTCCAGTCCTCAATTCATTAATATGAAAAGGACAATTAAAACTTCCAAAAAAAAGTTAAGGGTTTTTTCCTATTTAACAGGTTAGGAGAAAAGCATTCTGCAAACCCTGATACATCTAGATACAGTAGACATTACCTAAAAATTTTTCAGTGCTTTTAGAAATACTCTACTTAACAGTCTTTTAGAACATTTAAGCTTCAACATAATTTCAATTGATAAAAAACTCCAATCTCTCCATTTGCATCCCAAAACAGAAATTCTTCAGTATTACAAATAGAAATACAAACCCTATTTAATAGTATCATTATCAACAGCATTTCTAGATACTCATGTCAAATCTTTTTAAAAATTAAAATTAACTAAGTAGCCAACATACAGTATAATGATCCACCTTACCCCTCATAACTACAAATTTCTTAGTTAGCTGCACCTGTAACAACCCAGTCCATCCCTGCTTTCAAATGCAGATCAAAATCACCTGACAAATGATCATGCCTTCCTTTTGTAATAGGTGTTGTGCAGACTCGACTGAAATCCAGAGAGTTGTCCAACATGGCATTTATTCTACGAAAAATATCAGCATTGCTACAAGTTGAAAGTGCAGGGGCTTCAGGGTTATCCCAGCAGTCTTTGATCCTTCCTGCGTCTTCTTTCTAGTATGACCAAAAAAAAAAAAAATTCTTTTAGCCCAAATTCATTTGATCAAACCCCACATTATCAAGTGAAATCAATAATGAACAAATCTTGGTCCTTACTTACTGGCCTGTTATTTTCTCATCCATAGGAGCAGCTTTTAATTCACAAGTCTTTTTGCAAAAATCAAATAAAGATCTCTGTGAAAATGCTTTCGAAATATCAAGTGGGATGGGATAAGGAGTATACCTAGGATTTCATTGATACGAGGAACTTTGATGAAACCTTTATCAATTCATGTCAGCATCTTCTGTAATTTATAGCCTCAGGGAGTTGCCTGGTCTATTGTGAGGTTAAATTGACTAATCCAAGATCATAAAGCCAGTATGTGTCAAACACTATTTGAACCTAGGTTTCCTGGCTCCAAGACCAACTATCTACCACACTGCCCCTCCAACTAATAATATAATACATACAAGCAATTACTCATTGGAACACTTTTTTATGTATGTAAGACAGTGTTAAGGCACTAAAGAGGTTATAAAATTGTTGGAAAATATGGTTTGTGCACTCAAAAAACTTGGTTTATTAATCAATGCAAAAAACATACTGCACAGCGTTGTAAGTTGTCAAACCAATATGACAATGGAAAAAGGTAGGAAAGCATAGTAATAGTAGCAGGTCTTAAGGGACATTCAGGTTTTAGCTGAGCAGAATTGGCAAGGGAAGAAATATCAAAATAGAAGAAATTCCATGAGCAAAAGCAAATAAGGTAGGAACATGGATTCTGAGTTTGGTTAAGTGATACTATATATACACAGAGAGTTTCCACTTAAAGTAAATGACATGTTCCACAGATCTCCCCCTCCCCTAGTGAGGCTCCACATGGCCGTGGCCCCTCAAGTCTGAATAAGTGCTGCCCCTGGAGGCCTGCAGGGCACAGAAGCCAGGGACCAGTGCAGATCCTGCTATCCACAGGAGTTGAATTTGTGTAATACAGATTTATTTGAAGCAAAAACTCTCTAATTCTCTTAAGAATTCACATAGGATAATTTCTCCTACAAGAGTGTATCAGCTTCTCTTCACTCACAACCATGAGCCAACATCTAGCAGTCACTGAATGTTCTCATTTTCCAAATTCTTTACATTAGAGAAAATGTGGAAAGCTTGTAAGAGCTAATTAGCTTCTCTTCCCCACTCCATCTCATTAGTGGTCTTCAAAGAAAGGGTGGATGACCACCTCCTCTCACAGTTATTTAGAAGTAAGACTTCTGAACTGTTCCACTCAGATGCTGTAATAATACCAGCTACTTACTGGCTGAGGGAAATAAAGAAAGAAAAGATGATAGTCAAAGATAACTGGTATGTTGAACCTCAGGAGACAGGAAGAAGGGTACCCCATCAAATTTTTATTGGAAACTAGAGGTACAGGCAATGCAGAGATCAGAGTCTTCCTTGGGGAGATTACCATCTATATCTAATTAGAAAAAGACCTACTGGGAGTGAATCAGACAAAAATGCAGAAAATTAAAAACATTGCTCAAGATTTCTTTCTTTTTGAGGGGGAGGGAAAAGAGATGGATGTTTTAAGTTCCATGTGGATATGTCTAGCAAGTAGATAGAGTCGTGAGACTTAAGTCCAGAAAAGAAGTCAGATCTAGAAATAGACTGGGGAGTCATCTGCAGTAGGTGAATACTTTAAGCTAAGAACAAATTAATGTACTATGAGAAAAGCAGAAGGCTAAAGACAGCTTCTAGAAGACCTACATGTGAGGAGCAAGAATGGGGAGAAGCTGCAATGAAAACAAAATTGGAGCAGAGGTTTAAAAAAGATGGATTATCTTCAGGGTTGCAAAAGCCAAGGGACAAGACTCTCTAAAAGGAAGAGAGTAATCTAAAACTAACACGAGTCCCAGTTTTACCAATAGATAGATCTGGAGCAAGTCACAAACTCTTAGTTTCCTCAACTACTGAGGGCTGGGGTTGAAGCAGATCCTGTCTAATTATCTATGACTAAGAAAATCTACTGATAGAGTTGTCAGGATGTCACTGGTAACCTTAAAGGAGATTTTTGTATAGTGATGAGGAAAAAGCAAGACTGAAGGAGGCTGATTTGTCTGTAGATAGTAAAGGGAGATTTAGCTGAGACATTAGATTAAAACCTTATTATGCCTTCAATTAACTTGTCTTTAACACCTGTACCTCTAGAATCCCTTATAAAACCCTCTCACACATCTTATCAACACCACCGTTTCTGGCCTTTTGCCAAGACTGAAGAAAAGTTAACATTAGCCATGTTACTCCCCAGAAACAAGCAATACATACAGCTGATCAATAAAGTCATCACAGGTACTATCTTTGAGGCTAGAATTTAGGTCAAATGTATATTGCACTACATCTCAATTAAGTCCAGGTATCATAAAAATTAGTTTTCTTTGGATTAAAATTAAACAAATCTTTCACTAAAACTGCCACCTCAATCAGGAAACAGGTGATCCCTGAACTGTTAATTTTCAAGTCCAGAAAGAGTGCTAATTACTACTGTTTTATGCCAAACCAAGGAAAAAAGTAAAATCCTCTCAGTAGAAGCCTGCCCCTTTATTGGTCAAGACTTCCTGGCTCATCCTTAAGATAAAGGAGATCAGACACTGCATAGAAAAGCAGATCTAAAGACCAGGCCTTTTCCTATTCTCCCCACTGCTAGTACCTTCTGAAATTACTTCCCATTTATATTGCACATGCCTTGCACATACATACTTGTCTGCATGTCTTCTCCATTAGACTGGTCAATCCTTGAGAGTAAGGGCTACTTTTACCTTTTTTTGTATCCCCAGTGTGTAGACAATGCCTAGTAGCATACAGTAGGTGCTCAATAAATGCTTTTTGACTGATGTGTCCAGGTAGAAGGCATAAGAGGATTGATATGAAAATGGGGTTCTGGATCCTTTTTGTGTCATGGACCCCTTCCGGCAGCCTGGCGAAGCTTACGGACTTTATTAGAATAGGGTTTTTTATTCATAATTGAAGGAAATGCTCAATTTCAGTTAGAAGTAAAAATAAAAATGCAACCTTTTTCCCACCCAAGTTTACAGACAACCCCCTCCCTCCAGCAATCTGAATGCACTTCATCAATGTACTTCAAGAACCCCCACGTTGGAAGATTATTTGCCACTTTACGTCATAATCCTTTCCTCTTCAAATCTAAACTACCAGAGACAATAACCCAAACATTAATAGCAGGTCTGCTGATTTCAATGGAAAAGTACTAGAGTAATTAATTCATTTCACCTGATAGAGCTTAATGTTTGTTGAGGTAAATTCCTCCTCTTTAAACAAGTACAAGTACTGTGGCAAATGGTCATTTAACAGAAGGGAAATGAAAGCAATAACTGAAATATTTTATTGGCATTGAGATTACTATTATAACTGAACAGACCTGAGAAACCAATTATATGCGTAACTATTTTAGTTTACTAAATAAATCAAAATTGAATTCTTAAACTAGTTCCAAGTTAGTGACTGACAACTTGGATGAAAAGGCAGCTGGAGATATAGGGATCAGTTACAATGCTGTACCAGTTATTGATTTTACAGCTTTTGGGCAAGGGAGCTGTTTATATTTCAGCAGGTATACTTAATAGCAGAATCTGATCAGCAAACCTCATTATAGGCTACTACTAGCAAACTTGAGTTTGTTCTGTTATTGCAGACTTTAGAACAAGCCCCAGACTATTCCTGGAGGAACCCTCAACTATGAGGTGTTCCCAAAAGAGCCTACTCCGTAGTGTTGAAATTTTGATTAATCCTCTCCGGAAATTCAAGTTGGTATGGGAATTACACTTATAAGTAAATTCTACATTTATTGAGATCCTGTCTACCTTTCTTGTCCTAAAAGTTGTTTTAAAATTTAAGATTAATCCAGTTCCAGTAGGAAAACATTCTGGTAATTTTAACTAATGTCCAACCTGCCCACTAAAGGAGGCAGGTCTCCCTTTCAACACTAAACTTTACCTACCTTTCCTGAAACTCCAGACACTATTAGATCAGCTAACTCTGCCTCCACACAAAAGGAATGGTAAATGCAAGCACATTCCTGCTAATAGCAGTATTGCTGTGCCAGTGGTTCAGAACAACCATGCTGGCTTCAGCAGCTCCTAAAAAGTTTTTCTCTAATTATCAGAACTGCAACCAGTAGGCCAGAGGCAACTAAAAATTGTCCTATTAGGTTATTTACATTAAATAATCAGTCTGGCCTAATTCTTACACCACAAAGTAGAGATGTATATAAAGTTTAATTCTGTGCTGTCTTCCCTGCTTTGTTCATCCTTTTCCTTTTTTTCATATCTGAAGTCTAGAGTCTAAAAATGTCACTCCCTTTTTATATAGTTACAATTCCACTCACCAAATGTCTTATTGGTACAACTCATTGAGAATACAGTAAACCAAGAATTTTCACACTCAAACCTGTTTTGGTGGTAATCATACTTGTAAAGCTCACTCTCCTACTGCATATACAGTCTGCAATCACATAAAATTTGGTTTTATATAAAGCACAGCATATGATTTGTTATCAGAAGGATCAAAGATCCAGGGAAAACGGGGCAGGTTTGCCTTGTTATTCACTGCTATCTATTAAGCAGGAGTAGACAAACCCTTTTTGTATCATTTTCACCCCCTCCCCCTGAAAACCAAAGTTCTTCAGAGTTCCAGAACGAGATTTTCTAAGAAGCCTCCCCACCACAACTTGACCGTTCTTCTTTAGCTGTTAAATTTGCTTCCCCCTTCAGTGAACCTTAGCTGGTAAGAAATTATCCTGAAATGCAGATTTGGTATAGGTTCCTGGATTTGACAGGTTGCTCAAATTACACTTAACCCTATTCCTACAAAAAATAAAATAAAATCTATATTTAAACTTGATATGAACCACACTAGACAAAAGTTTCCTTAATTTCCAAGTCTTCGTCCATACATTAGATCAACTGGTCTAAATTATACTTCATATCCAGAAAAGTGCTCTGTACAATGTATTCCAAGTTCAGCTGGCTAAAAAAGCTAAAAGGCCTGATAAAAAACCTCAATGTTCTGTTTTAATACTGTTTTTTCCTTAGGGGCCAGCTACAACTAAGTGCCCTTTTTTTATCTGAGCTCATACAAGTTCTGTGCATTTTAGTGCTTCCTCCTCTGGGCAGCTTGTACCTGACACATAATCAGGGATATAAACAATTTAATTGTTTTAAGTGCATTGTACAGTCTTTTTTTTTTTTTTTTTTAAATGCCTATTTCCCCAGACACTGGAGGAAACTTAAAAAAGGCAGATGGTCTTCACAGCCACTATTTTTCCAGTGGTTATCAACCTACTTGTTAATGTTGTGAAGAAATTTCTCCTTATTATAAAAGTCACGTCCTTTTAAAATGAGGGTGCTGTGAAATAGTTGGGACTTCATAAAAGTATATAAATTTAAGGTGGCCTGTGGCTAGAAAAGAATTCCTTGCCAAAGAAAGCTACATTAAGGAGACTCCATTTAACTGGATCTTCCATCATATCCTCTCTAAGCATGCAGAGAGCATACCTAACACTTTGTAATTACCCATCCTCCTGTGTGGGGGGACTATTATTCCCCAATATAGTGTTTTGGTTTGTTTTTGTTTTTTTACACACACACACACACACACAATTTGGTAGCCCTGTGTCAATTTGTTGTCCTCCAATGGAGAGTAACTCTCCTGCCACAAAAGAAAATATGAAAAGAAAGTCTTCCTTTCAAAGAAATTCATATTCTAGAAACCTAGCTAACATAAGTCTTTAAAAGAAAACAGAGAGAGGAAATGTGCCTCACTTTTGGTGGACCCCTCATTGAAATTTTAAGTGATGTTAACCTTCTCCCCCCCCCCACCCCCATGTTCGAATTCTTCAACCCTCCATTAACAGTATTTGGCACGTTCCCCCGGGGGGGGGGGGGGAATGGTCACTCCAACATCGAAACTTCACTAGCGAAGTAGATTACCAGTAACCAGGGAAAAGCTGAGCTACCTTTTGAGGATTAAAACAAGGAACAGATTAAATATTCCATTTCTCTTGGCTAGCTCACCAACCAACAAGAAGTAGATGCCAAAATGCAGTTAGGGGAATTTGGGGTCTCCCCCAACACTCTGCGGGGAGGGCCAGAAACAATATAGCCGGTCTTAAGATCTCACCATCAGACATTAAAAAGTTCAGAGATTTGTAGAGAGCACGGCCAGAAGTTGGATTTTGACCTTACTTTGTAAAAACTCGAAACTCTAGAGGGGTGGGTTTGTCTGAAAACAGAAGAGCAATAATGAGAAGCGGGGTAAGGCTGGTTGTACCGCAGCCAACACTCGAGGTGAATTCACCCAAGGCAAAAACACCTGGGAAAAAGTCACAGACCTCGGGTGGAATGCAACCCTGGACAGCAGCCGCCCCCTCCCGCAGCGCACGCTCGCTGCCCCGGCCCGGGGGCGTCCACCAAGCCCCGCACCGAACGCCCTAACACCCGGCATCGAGCCCTCGACCTTCGAGCATCCCCCTCCTCCTGTCCCCGAGGGGCGCGAGTCTAGCTGCCCCGCCCCGCCCCGCCTTGGCTCACCTCGGGGAGGGCCCCCAGCTGCGGCTCCATGCCCTCACCCGGCCTCGAGATCCGCCCTGCCCAACCCGGGTCCTCCACCCCACCCCCACCCGGAGCTCCGGGCCCGGGGAGAACCCCGAGGGTCTACACTCACACGTGGACACCTCGCGCCAGCTCCCCCACAACCCCCCCCCAAGTCTCCGCGGCGCCGAGCCCTACCCTGCCCGGCCCAACTCGCCCAGCCGGGCAGGCCCGGGTTGACGTGGCTGAGCCCCAACCCCACCCTACCTGGGCGGCAGCGGCGGCGACAATCACGCCGGGTCGGACTCAGCCCGTTATTCGGGGATGGTGCCTGTCCCAGGAAGGTCGGGCCCCTCGGAACCGAGGCGGCGGCGGCGGCGACTCCGGGCGGCCGCTGGCTCCGCGCTCCCGGCGCCGAACGTGTGAACCACGTGACCTACCCTCCTCCTCACCCCTCCCTGCCCCGCCGAGACGCGGGGAGGGGGGGTAGCTCGCGGCGGCCCAAGGGAGAGGCAGCGAAGCCGAACCGCCCTTAAAGGGGACGCACCGCCCAGGGGCCGTCGGGAGCTCTCGCTTTCTCACAGCCCCCGCGGGCTGAGCTGGACTGGGGTGAGAGGCAGGGCGCTTCCGAACAGACACAACATGGGGGCATCAGAGCCCGCAGCCGGCCGCCCCACGTGGCGCTTCTAGACGCCTCCGGGGACCCTTTCCCTTCCGCGAACCCCCGTGGCTGCTCGGGATACCCCTGCCTGCGGGCCTTTTGCGTAACTTAGCATCAACACCCGCAACTACGACTACCAGCGGGAGCGCAAGTCACTCGGAACCGCGACTGAGAGACCCACCCTAATGGGCAGAGAGCAGCCGGACGGCCGAGCGCGCCACCCGCCTCACCCCCTGCCCTTCGAGGCTCCTCCTCGAGGCCCTTGTGCCCCCCTCCTCGAACTCCAGGCCACCTGCACCTGCACCCCCGGCGGCCTTCACCCCAGCAAAACGCGCTTTACAAGATGGGAGGCCCCGGGAGAGCTCCGTGACCGACCCCCGCGGGATCCCCCGGAGGACCCCGGCTCCTTTAAGATGAACAAGCAACAGAATCACGAGTAGAAACGCATGTCCCTTCCCTCAAACAAACACACGAGGTTCCACGCTCCGGGACATGTGACTCGCGCCCCGCCTCTTCCCCTCCCCCCGTACCATCCTCCACACACAGACACATGCACACGCCCCCCCCCGCCCCTGGGGAACAGGCCTCGCTGCCCCTCCGGGTACGGCCGCCGCCCCACGGAGGAAGCAGCGCTCAGGCCCGGGGGCGCGGAGCTCGTGGGGAATGCGCCGCAACGCCCCGGGCGAGGAGCCACCTGCCCGCCCACGCGCCCGCCGCCCCGAGGCGCGTGGCTCCCGGCCCAACAGAGACCGCCCGGGGCTGCGAGAGCGAGGCGCGGCACGCGCCGGGCTCCGCGCTCCCTCCATCCCACCCCGCCCCCCAGCCCGGCCTCTTACCAGTGAGAACGCCATGGGGCCGCTCGGCCTGGGCCCCCTCCGCCCGGCCTGGATGGGCGCGCTCAGCCGCACTGCCACGGGCCACCTCCGAGGCGCTATTTTTGCAACCAGCCCCGGCACCGCCCACCGGACGGCTTAAGAAGCCCGAAGTAGCGGCCGTGCCCCCGCCCCCTGCGTCCTCCCCCGCCCGCAGAACCAACTCGGGACACCTGTTTTCCCAAGCTCGGGCACTAGCCCGCAAGTGCCGTCCACCCTCGACGCGGCACTGCGCGCGCCCCGCGCCCCCGACGCCCTCCGCAGCCTCGCGTCCCCTCCCCTAGGGAGACTGCGAAGACCCCACCCAAAGGCTGGCACCTCCTACCCGACCCGGTCTGGGATACCCTTAAAGGGGACGCCGCCCTGCCCCCGCCCCGAGCGTGGGGTAGAGGTTACGGAGGGGCCAGCAGGTGGGTGCAGGAGGTCAACAGCCTGAAGTTGCGGAGCGTTGGAGGAGGCACGGAGCGCGGGGGTGGGGGAGGGGAGAGGAGGGGAAGGCGTCTGGCTGGGCGGCCGAGCTCGTGCCCCCTCCGCTGAGCGCCTCCCCACCACCATGCAACCCCTCCACTATTGGGGTAGCCCAGAGCATTCCAGAAACCCTGAAAGGACTCTGACCTGCGCCTTGCTCCTGCAAAGAGGAGCTGGGGCCTGCAGAAGTTCACGCCCCGCCACACCCCGGGTGGAGGGCGCACTCGCCTTCACATTTGTGCATCTGCACGCTGCAGAGTTTGAGGGGAGCTGCTGGGGATCGACCGGAGTTAGCAGAACGGACCTGTCTGTGCCATTTTGGGAGCTCTGCCGACTCCCCTCTGGGCAGGGGGTTGCCTGAGACGAAAACCCTAGTGGGGGGGTTAAGCCCAGATGGTCTAATAATACAGAATTAGCCTCTAATTTTCCAAGGCGAAGGCGGGCCTGGAGCAACTTCCCTTTTTTGAGGTAGATGGAAGACTCCTTTTCTCTTGATTTACATAGCTCTCAACTATGACAAAGCTTTAAGAAATTTAGAATTTATCAAAGCAATACCTTCGTTTTAAGCTGAGACCCAAAGAATACCTTATATAGCAGAATAAAAGGGAAGGGCGAACAAGCATTTATTAAAAGTCTACTGTGTGCCCAGTGCTTAACAAATACTACCTCATTTGATCGTCACAGCTCTAGGAAGTAGGTGCTATTATCACCATTTTTCTGTTGAGGAAACTGAGGTTAAATGACATTTTTACAGAATTTTCCCCACATCTTTTGAGATACGACTGAATTTCAGTAGAAAATAGGTAATTCTTAGATATGAAAAACAACTGAGGGAGAGGGGGAACCAAGGGTCCACTATAAAAGGGTACCAGAGGTTAATGGGGACCACCAGTCAGTTGTCATTCAGTAAGTATTTATTAAGCACCTACTATGTGCCAAGCACTGTGCTTAGTGCTGGGGAATGCAAACAACGGGAAAAAAAGTCCTTGATCTTAAAAGAGATCCCTGACTAACGGGAGAGATAGCATGCAAGCAGCTATATCCAAACAAACCAGGAACAGGATAAATGGGAGATAATCAATAGAGGGAAGGCACCAGCATTAAGGAGGATCAGAAAAGGCTTCTAGCAGGAGGTGGGAATTTGGCTGTACCTTGAGGGAAACCAGGGAGTTGGGGAGTAGAGATGAGAAAGAAGAGTATTGCAGGCGTGTGGAGTAGTCGGTGAAAATGCCCAGTCTGGAGATGGAGTATTTTGTGTGAGGGATAGCGTGGAGGCCAGTGTAAGCATCTAAGTCCTTAGACAAGAGACTCCTTTTTTTTTTTTTTAATTGGCCTGTCAACACACTTCTTTCTATCCTCTTCATTAGAACTTCCACACCATCCCACATCTACCTCTGCATCCCCAATCCACCTAGAATTATTAGTTTGCACTCTCTCATATCATTGCTCCTTGAATTCTAAATCATTTGCAGGCCCTTTTAGGGAAGTAGGGCAAGAGGGGTAGACAGACACAGAGAAAGGGAAGAGAGAGATAAAGAGACAGAGAGGAAAGAGACTGAGGAGAGAGAGAAGGAGAGAGCATAGGAATTTACTTGGACTCTCCCTCTGGAATTGGAATTGAGTCCTCTAGCCCACCCCACACTCCAAACAAAAAAACTGAGATGTGGGTTTTAGGTATGAAAGGAAAGATCACGAATGCTAGAGTGTTGTTGGTGCTAGTTAGACTAATCCCCAGCTTCCCACCTCTATAGAACTTCTCTACTCATTGTTTATGGACCTGTGATTGGCACCTCCGGGATCTTTGAAAGGGAGTAGGCAAGCTCTTTGATCACTAGGAGTGGGTGGGTTCCTCTTAGGTGATAACTTACTTGGGTGGGGGGAAGGCCCCTTAGTAACACTTTGAATAAACTGCGCTAGGTAGGAGAGGCTTGTAATTACTCTTTGCCCCTAAGAAAGATCATTTTTTTACAATCTCGCCTTTCTAATGTTGAATGCTTGACAGTTTAACAAAGTAATTGCCAGTACGTGATTTCATTTCATCATCACACAATCCTCTGAAGAAAGCAGGATATTATTACCCCCCCATTTTATAAATGAAGAAATTGGGGCTCAAACAAATTAATAGTAACTCAGTTACAGGTTGCTTTGGGGTTTTCAAGAATAATATTCCAAGGTAGGTAGTGCAAGCAAGTATAATTAGCCTGCTGATTCGTGCTGCTGAACTATGCTGGAGAAAGTAATACAACTAAGCTAACTGAGGTACAAAGGGATGTTAGCTAATCTCATTTGGACTCCCAGCAATGCTTGATTCCAACTGAGCCTCTATTATGCTCCCCATAGTAGTTGTTCCAAACCTCTTCTGTTCTCAAGTCCCCTACAATCACCCTCCTCCCCTCTCTATCCAAAAAGTACTTCAACCCCTACTTTACTAAGAAAACAGAGACAGCTAGGTGATGTAGTAGAATACAGCCAGGTGTAGTGCATACAGCGGTAGACCCAGAGTTAGAAAGACCTGTGTTCAGAGCCACCCCAGACACTTAATAGCCGTGTAATGTAGCTTACTAGCAGTGTGACCCGAAGCAAGTCGCACAACCTCTGTCTGCCTTAGCTTCTTCAGCTGTAAAACGGGCAAATGATAGCACCTATGCCACAGGGTTATGAGGATTAAATATTTCCTTTTCCCTTCTTCCACATGTAAAAACTAATCGATCTATATCATTCCCCTGCCTGTGCCTCCATTCTGGCTTTTATTCGACCTCTAAGGAAGAGGTGACCCTCCTCCCTTACCAAGGCTAACCCCGCCTCCCCCGTTTATGCCTTTGATAACCCTCCTCTGTCTCCCAGGGCTTGCCTTCTCAATCATTCTCTTTCTTTCTTCTTCAATCTTTCCTTATCCATTTACTCCTTTCCTGGGGATTAGTATAACTAACACTGACAACACTCTGGCATTCATGATCTTTCCTTTCATACCTAAAACCCACATCTCAGTTTTTTGTTTGGGATGTGGGGTGGGCTAGGGGACTCAAAAACGTCCCACTCTCCTTAAAAAAACTTGCCTCAACCCTGCCATCCCCTCGAGTAATCATCCTAAAAATCCCCCCAAAGGTTACCTTGCATTTTGTTTTTAATGTATGTCCAACAATCAGTTTTGCTATAAATTTTACTTATTCATTCTTAAACATCACCAGGCTATGCAAAATCAAGCAATAAAAACCACAAGGCTTGTGATGAAAATAGTGTAACGGGCACAGTGCTTAAAAACTTAATCAGTGGCATGAAAAAAAGAAGACTGGAACCTAGTCAAAATGTTTGTTTACATATTTTCACATGTTTTATTCATGTTAATGCCAAGAA